TAAACAAACACGGGGCGTTACGTAAAAAACTGCAATAGACATGCCGTATCAGATATGAGCTATAGCAGCGGACCCGAATGAGCAATATGATGGACGGACAGGTATCTTCTGAGGCGGCAGGTAGCCATCCCAAAACCTGTTGTGGAACCGTCCCCAACAATGCGGGAATTTGCAAAGACTCATGGTGTGATCCCAACATTATTTACGTATTTATTCTGTTCTTGCCCTTTCCATTGAGACATTTTTACAATAATAACAACGAAGCAATGTTCCTTTTGCGGAAATCCTCTTAAGTCACGTGAAATCGGTCGCTCCTCCATCGGCCCAATTGCAAGACGATACGGAACTCCGTTTCATATTAGAACTTCAGTCTAGAGCCCAGCCAGTGATAACATGACGAAGAGTGATCAATAAACCAAGGGCAGCCACCCTACCCGCCGCCTGTGGCACGAGATTTCGGCTGCCACAAACGACAATGACAGTCAGAGTCTCAGGATGAAACAGTGAGGGCTTGCGTATAAATCGTTTTGTGGTGAGGGAGACCTCGCTAGTTTCAAACACTCTCCTTGTTTCGACGACGAAACGACGCCACGGTGACCGGAGATGATGTGTACAGTGACTGACCAGGCATAAATTCCCCTATGCATGCGCCACACATGTATTGATCCCTGGTCTTGTCACCTCAGATATCGTATTGACGAAAGTCGCCATAAAGGCCACCGCAAAAAACGGCCACTGAAGCCTGGCCCCCAGTCTAGAGGAGGACCTAATTATTCTATCAGATGGCAAACGTTAAAGTCGCAATTTATGGAGTGGCGTAACAGATAGTAAGCAAATGGTGATTTAGGCAGAAGGCTATTACCGACAAAGACAAGGGAGACTGGTGATTTAGTATAATGAGAGAAATGGCTGGATCGATGAGCGGAAATCACCTCAGATGCAGTCTCATCCTCTCCTAGGTTCCCTACCACATACAACCGCTAAGTCTCTGTCAAGCGGGATGCGATTATAATACGATACAGTGACGGACAGGATAGTAGCACCCATTTAGAAGACTCTCCACATTCCTGTTATTCCCACAAGTATCTAGCTTCCCAGTTAAATCTAATGTGGAGGCTCATTAACACTGATGTCTGACACTCGTGACTTCCCGAGCATTCGGTGACCTTGATCAGACGAATACAATGATACTAATACAATCGGAGATATCGCAGACAAGTTGACAGGTCGGTCAGATATTTTGGTGATCACAACAAAGTCGCTAAATCATAATCAACAGAGTTGCCTCAAGCTCTCATTTACAAGGAGTCCAGGATAGGGACCTGTCGTCAAACTACAGTGTAATAGCCGTCCTCGACCGTAACCGTCAAACCCTAGGCCATACGAAAACAACAGAGAGACCGTAGACAATACTCTCTACCCGCAAACACCAGCTTTACCTGCAGACGGGACCATGGGAGCTAATATAGGACACATGCAATCTTCTCATCTTTATATTCACTGTATCTTTGATTTGAACCCGTGTCAGTTGGTCAGCGACCATTCGACCCATTCTTTCTGTCGTTTGGGCTGCCTGCTCAAACTTTGTCAAATGCGAACCGAAGTGCTCTAGTTCCCAATGACCAACCTTTCAAGGGTAATACATCAGGTGCCCGGCCCAAAATTGGGGTAAGGTTGCCCGATGACGGTAAATAGGCCGGAAATTGTCATTAAGCATTGCCTAGAGGGGTCGACAGAAGGAATATGCTCTAATGATAGCATAGTACGCCTACTTTTGAACGGTTTTCGAAGAACAGTCAAACCCTGGATCGGGTGCTTTTTCTTCACAAAATCCTTTTTAATTTTGATTGAGTGAGACTTATTCAGTAGGCAATGACAAAGTTAACATGTCACTATCCTTTCTATTTACCCATAGATACCGGAGAGGAGTCCAGCACTGCTTCGGCCAAGAGGTCAACTGCTAGCGGCTGTATGCCTGCGTCCAAGGAACTTCAGAGAGAAGAAGCCTTTTCAGAAGCAACTGATTAACGGCTCAAAGGCACATGACAGTGGTGTGTTGTTGCAAAGTATGCTGTTCAGAAGAATGGTCGCACAGGTGCTTCGATGATCTCCAGACCCGCCGTTCAGGCCCAGAATGGGAGATGAGGAGGCTCGGAGATCATGGCGGCGACGACTCGCCTAGTATTCGCCATGACTTCCTAGGTACTGGGGCATCAAGCGCAGACGTAGTGGCGGGCGGCAGCGATCGATTTCTACGACGCAATTAACGCCCCTATTGGTTGAGGCCGTAAGTAATGCATCAGCCATCAGCTTACTTTCTCGTCTGCGGCTCAGATGGTCGAGACGCACATATAGTGCTCTGGGGAGGGAGTATCGCAACGTTTAGTTAATTATAAAACAGAATTTATGACCCGAACTTCCTTCTGTGCACGGCTCCGGATCTCGGCTTCCTGAAGCCTAACAGTGATCCATTCTCTCATCTGCCCCGACAGCCCACTTATGTGAATCTGCAATAACTTGCCGGTTTCGTTGGCACCAGCATTTTCTCGGGATCAAGATTAGACCAAACAGACGAAGTGTGAGGCCCCATCCCATGTCTCTGAGTTCCTTAGGCTCCGGATCAGACGCCTAAATGACTTTTCCCATCTGTGGTGAGGTGCCGATGACCAAATATCGTATGGTCATCGACCGATTTCGACTACCTGCTCTGGTTTCTGAAATCGCTTATTTTCCGCAGTACGGCTGGGGAAATGTGCTTTCGCGTCAATTTGTAGTCCACAGCATGTGACAAACGTGGTTAGCCTGAAAATCGAATGCAGATTTCAGTATACGTTGTTGATGGATGCTGCTGCGGGTAGCCATCATGGTTATGTCTGATGTCACTGTCCAGCGCCCCGCAACCTCAAGGCCATTCACCTCCTTGCAGCGAGCCATTCCAGATGCGCTGACCTGCGGCCACTCGACCCACTTCAACTCAGACGCATGCTCACTCACAGAGTCGCAGCTGCCCATGCTCCACTTGAACACGTCACCGCCCCTGCAACCAACAATATAAGTCACTGGGACACCATCTCTTCAGCAAATGCAGCACACACCGATCAGAGACCACCCTAGCTTGGTCCAAGTGCCTACAAAAACGGCTACCACCATTATCCCTGATATTCGGACATGACTGGACGCAGTCAACACCAACCTTGGTTTCACCAGCGGCCACCGCCATCTGAGAGGACAACTCGGGTTCTGTATACAATAAACTATTCATTCTACTACCATCTGTCTTCTCCTTACAACATTGAATTTGGCTCTGAATGCACACTCTCACCGCCTTGACGCTACAATGCTGATAGAGATGGTATGCACCAGAAAACCCATTCAGTGTTTAGAGTACTTTAGTCAGTTCATGCGAAAAGTTATAACGCTGGTTCCCCACCGAGTATAACATTGCTTATGTTTGGGAGCGCAGGACGTCCTTGAAATGTAAGCCACTGAATCTTCCGGCTGGCGGTGTAACGATCATCGACCTAGGACAACCGAATCATGAAATGTCTGCACGGGGACCAGTCGAATACCAACATGCTGATTCATGCTAAAATAGACACGCCAGTATCCTGGTCGAAAAAAGCAAATAAAGCAGAGGTCGCGAATAGCAAACCACCTTCCAAGCCTGGATCGGTTAAATATGGTGACAGAGGGGATGTTTATGTGCGGACACCTATGCTTGCATTTAAACCGTCAACAATCGCAGTAATGCGAACTGCTCGTGGCTGCAATTACTACATTAGACCCCCTGAGGTTGACTGAAATAGGTGGATTACCCATCAATGCTGCTACTCTCTCTGGGAATCAGGGCGTAAGTATCAGCAGGTGATCTCACCCAGAGGAATCATCTTCACGGATGTGACTGACACCCATCTTATGGCAAACTCACTGACTAACAGCCCCGACACTAGAATTGTATAAAAGATATACTGACAAGACGCCAACACTACCGTCTACTGATGTTTCGTAGTCCATTGACGAAAATGCCCATGGTTCCGAGGGCGCAGTAATGACTTGTATGCAAACAATCGAGTTTTCTCTCTCTCCACGCATCCCCGTGTTCGAATGACAGGAATCAAAAGCGAAGATCGTCCGATCGATGTAACTGACACCACGTCTTCTCGGACGGCACAACGACAAACGTCAGTCCCCAAGCACACACAAATCAGTCCATAGGTGGACCGAGACACCTAGTAACTTCGCAACCCCCAGGTCGCAGTCTCTGGCGCGTTCTGACAGTCTAAACGATCGGTTACTTTTTTTATTGTGGAAAGTGTGCGCTGGGGTCGCAGCGGAACAGCCTCACTCATCATTTACCCGTGGAGATTAGATGGGGCGCATTGGTTGAAGTGGTGTCTGAATCTCAAATCTGAGTGGCTTTCTGTCTAGGCCTAGTGAAACAGCGCAACCTGTTTTGGGGATCCCCACAGTTATCTGGGCGGTTACTACAGTACGAATGAATAAGTCCTCAAAAATGCAGGTTCATCAAGTAAAAGCCAAGCCAGGGCGCAAATAAGGGCCTATTTCCGAGGTTCAATAAACCAGCAGTTAATAATGTGTTAAAATTAACAGAAAGCGCAGTAGCTCAGAGAAGAGCAGTTCATTTACAGTATCCAAAGCATAAAAATAAAATCGAAAAATAGAAAGCTTCAGTCAGAACGATTGTACAATTGGAAAGAGTCGTGAGGTATACATCCAGGCCACAAGAAAGAAATGAAAAGACAGGAAAGAGAAGAGAAAAAGGCGTCAAGTAAATGCAAGAGCCTGCAATTGGCAAAAATAGCAAGTGCCGTACATTGGCGGGAATGCACTGCGTCGCTGTTAAAGTCAGTGGAAAAAACTCCTTAGAAGGGGGAACTGTGCAGGGGGAGCTGTCAAAGCGCCTCGAATGTCCAGCCGAGTTTATATACAGCCAACCATTCTTCATTTCGTACTACGCCATTGGAGACTGTACATAGGATTCACCTGAAACAATAAAATATGGTTTTACAAACCTTGCCCAAGAGAGACCGATAAATTTGTCAATAAGTGATGCGCTTGGCCGGGAGCACATCTCAGAAACTGATCAAATTTCCTGCTGACTTACCATATCTTCTACTGTACGTAGGGCGGTATAACGTGCAACAGTTAGAGACTCGCGGAGCTTACGTCCGACAGCTTGTTTTTAGTAATCAACTTATATGAGCACTGTTTTCGACGTAACGTGCGACAAGCAAAACGACACCCCACTAACTTAGACTAAACAAGTTTAGTGCAGCACCTGGGTTGAAAGAAAAACGCGTTTCTAAGTCCCCCGTATTGCTGGCTTTCAACCCTAAACAGCCAAATTGAGAAGGAAATGAGTTCATGTGTGTGAAGGCAACATTCAGTTGGCCAGGTCAACCCTGATATATGAAACCGAAAAATGATCATCACTTGTCAGGAATGTCAGGTGTCTGCATTTGTGGTGGTCGGGTAACATTATGCATGCAAATACTGACTTCATAAAGTTTGTTTGCACTCACGCCGACTACAAATGTCCATCCACGTTTCTTGGAGGCATTCTAACAGTTCTGCTACCAGGACTGCCAAAATATTTGCAGCCGTCGTCTATTGCATTCGAGCAATGAGCACGAAAGAGGATAACTTTGATCGATACTAACTAGTTTCCCATTTAATGCCACCAGGGTTTCCTGAGGTTTGATAGGAAAACTCCAAGCAACAGACATTGGGAGACCTATGACACATTTTCGGCCGGGCAGCGTGACAGCCTGCCTGAGAGTTGCTGTAAAGACTGAGTGTGCATGTGCCGGATCAGTTGCTTTGGGATCAAATGCGATAAAAACCCTCGCTGTGAATGTACCCAAATTACACCCTCGGGATGGAAGGTAAAGATAAGAGACAAAATTCAAAAGAAGAACTTTCCAAGGATTTAGCTCCAGTAAGATTTCGGGACTGATGCTAATTAAAAGTCCGATAAACCTAAATTACCTAGAAACACAGGATGAAACTTCATGCACTTTGGAGAACTTCACAGCAACACGTAAAAGCCGACGGTAGGACTACATGGTCGTGCAGGCAGCCTCAAAAAATGTTTCATTATGATAAAACAAGTTAAACGGTCAAACTGCTACATGAAAACGGACAACATATGGTGCAATAAACGAGACGGAGGAACTAAAAAAACTGCAAATTGCAAGGCAAAAATGACAGATTTACCTGTTTTGGTTAAAGATGAGGATCTGGAACCTCAAGAAATTTTAATTGGCAGTGGATATGCCTGAGAAACCTGAGTGCCTCCGCTCTTGCACAGATACTTCAAATCGGTCAAGAAGGGTGACAAAAGTGAGGATAACTCCTCTACGTCCTTAAACTTTGGCCCCGATGAGTTGAATGAAAGAGCAAGATTACGGCACAACTCTGACTTGCCACTGGGCAGCAGATGTTGAACGCTTACTAGGAATGGGGACATGGCAGACTCCCAAAAGAGGTTAGCTTGAAAGACGGACTGGTCGCGGTCGGTGGTCACGTATAAACTGTATAGTCCATGGAACAGAGACTCTTTTCCGTCTGTCTGAGGTTGTGTCATAAGGAAGCTCAGTATGCATTGAGCGAGTTGATCGCGCCACCTCATCGAGAAGATTGGCAGAGAAAAGAGATCATGACGCTGGTTCAGGCTACATAAGGAATTCATTGTCTGTACAACTAGGCGGAGATCTGTCACGTTTTCGGAGAAAACTGCCATGACGAGACGCATAAACAGGTTAAAATCCTCCAATTTTGTCGCGTCATCATTTACGGCAGCAGTCGGCTGGAATCCGTTGGCTTGTGTCAGCTGGGGGAAACCAAAGGACAATATGCGGAATAAAAGATCAAATATGCTGATGCAAAAGTCTGCATCGTTTAGGCAGGCGCGGCTAACAACGATTGAGACATTTGCCATAACACTGAGGTCGACAGTCGGTTGCACAGCGGCAAGATTTAGCAGTAGAAAGTGGACACAAAAGTGGAAGACGTCCGAAACCAGGGGCAAAAATGCACTCCTATTCTGTACCAACACGTTAAGCAACCTGACCAGATGAGCCATTACTGGGGAGACGAGACGCGAGGACATTTTTTGTTCAAGTATCTGCAGTAGTTTCAAAACGGCAGTCACAAAACTCGGAATAAAGTTAGCAGTCGCTTTTTGATTGCCATAGACGTCGATAAATTGCACAAAAAAGGAAAGATGAGCGATAAACAGAGCTGTGTTACGCTCACAATCCACCGATGTGGTTAGGCTAACATCGAGACAGGGCCACAACTGGTCGAGAAGCTTAGAGTTCAGAAGATGGTCATACATCAGGCGTCTGCTCTTGCCACTCAGACTGGACAGGGAGGCCACTGCTTCGTTCAGCCAACAGAGTCCGGCAAAATATGAGTCCTCATCGGTCTTTAGAGTCTGTGGCTGGATGCAGTGAGAGAACACGAGGAAGAGGCGATCGGTGAAGAGGCTCAGTTTAAGTGCTGTCACACTGCGTAGATCTTCAAGACGTTTAAGAGCAACCGACTGGGCGACGCGGGGAACCTCGTCGGTGAGGAGATAGACCGTGCAGGCACGCACAATTACCCGCTGAACGGCAATGGGGAGGGATTTGAGTATTCCAACTGAAAAACAACAACCCAAGATTTCCTGCAAGTGACCTGAGGATTCTGGATTTGACGAGGGGGACAGGAGAAGATAAGATGGCGGTAAGAAGCCAGGTGGGTTGCCCGTAGTTACCATGGTAAAGAAAAGCTTGGCGGCATGCAAAGGCAAATGGCTTGCACGTGACGAGTGTGTGGTAAACAGAAGCTGACGAATGCACGACAGCAGCAGTGCAACCAGAGAATCTCTTTCAGATATTGACAAGACAAGGCAGCCCTTTATCTCATGATTAGCTGATAAATCATTTTCGTTAGAAATAATGAGACCGCTGGCGATCAAACAGCGTACAGCGTTGACGTTTTCGACCACAACTTCAATCACATCCTTCCTTATTGTTTCCTCACGCAAGGTAGTAATGCGTTCGAGGAATGAGACGCCGGCCCCCAGTGACTGGGCTAAGCACTGAAGTAACCACCGAATCACATCAGTCTCGCTCACAGAAACCAAATTGTCTGCCAGGAAGGATACGCACTGCAAACTCATTGTAAGGTCACGTAGGGCGCCATGAAGCTTCCTTGAAACGTGCTCTTCGAGAACTAGTTGTTCATCGGGGCTTGTAAGTTGTCTGAAAACATTCAGTCCGTCTTGCAGGTGAGAAAATATGGACTGAAAGACTAATTTTGGCACAAAAAAGGTCACAGAGGCGAGTAGCGTGAGAGAGGTTTGGACAAAATCATGGTACTCCGAGTCGTGATTTTCAAGACCAAATGAATGTGTATTCTGCAGAATGTCATCAAAGAATGATGAGTAGGAGTTGGAATGGGCGCCCGCATCAGCTGCTAAATCATCGGACTCATTGTCAAGGGAATCAAGGAAACTTGCGGAGTCTGAAAAGTAAAGACTCGAGATAAGTGACAAGCAAAGAGTAGAGATGATCAACTGAGTGGATTGCGGCAAGTCCACGTTGCGCTGTGCCAGAGTGGATGGAGTCGCAGAGTCTCCATAGTAAATGGCTCTATTAAACTCCAGATAAGAGGTCCATATGTCAAGGCTTGAGATGTAAACAGGAAAAATTCGCTTGCAAGTCTGAAAAGTGAAATTGTGCACAAGCAGCATGAAGTTAAGAGGGTGAAATTGATAAGGCGATGTGGGGGCGGGGTATTCGTTTTGTTTAAAGAAATGGAGAAAATTTGTGACAAGATGTTGTAAGAGGTCCGAAAGTTTTTGGCAAGCGTTCTGCCATACTGATTCTATGGTTTGGTTAAGCAATGTTATTTCGGCGAGACTAGTCCCGTCAGACGTCGGGCGCGAAACAGCATCTCTGGTCCCTGATATAGAAGTTAGGACCGGTTCTGCGAGCTCCGAAACAGGAAAATTCGGATCCTGCATTAAGAGAGACCAATGAATAATTTTGAAGACAAATGAAAGCTGTACAACCATGGAATCTCGAGGTAAGTCCTTGCGTTCAACGACCTCCTGTAGACAGGACAAACTATTAAATCCTACTTCGGAAAGTGTATCTAAAGACATAGTGGACGGAAGATTGTACGTTTTTGCCAAATGTGAAATAGTTGTCACTGTGGTGGGTGAGCCAAGGATGTCAAAAACATAGATACAACTGTATAATTTGTACGGGTTGAGGGAGGCGAGGGGCGCCGTGGCCACAAGGTCGCTTAGGCATACCAGAATACTGACAAAGATTTTTACCAAAAATGACGAAACCTCCTGCTTGTTCGGATCCGCAGCACAGAGTAAATTTGCCGAGAGACCCAGTATTTCTCGCGTTGATGCATAAAAATCCCCCTCCGAAACACAGTCCTCCATAAACAAACCTTTTACTTTATTAAGAATATCGCAGCATAAGATTGCCTCGGTCAAATCCATCAAGGCATCGAAAATCAGGCTCGCGATGTTATCCAATTGCGGGCGAAGAGCTGCTGCCTTTTCGCTGTTCAGGCTAGAGTCTGGTCGGACCAGTTCCTCGTAGGCAAAATGAAGAGTAGTCAGAGCAAAAGAAAGCCGCTGAGCTTGGTCCAGTGTAGTCACGCTTACAGGTGCCTTCAGTGGCTGGAGAAGTTTTTCAATGAAGGATGGGACATTTTGTGCGAAGTCACGTTTGTAAATTACAGCCGCTAGCTTTACAGCCTTGCATTTCGTAAAGGCAGGTGGAGTTGCGCAGGAAGACGAGGAAGATATAACTTCGAACAAGACGAACTCCTCCAAAAACTTCAGAATTGTTTGCTTCTCCGCCGACGAAAACTCATGCGAACGGTTAAGTGCCGTCTCTATCACGCCCAGGCTGAACATGCAAACATACTGGTTAGTAGATACAGAGAGAAAACTCAATGCGGATTTCCAAGCAGTCGGCTCTCGCTCAAATTGACTAAGGAGCTCTTGCACATAGCTTAGACGCTCAGGGGATGATGCTTGAGTGAAGAGCTCTATCAGCAGACTTTGTAAATCGGTCAACGTAGACATGCAGCTTCGACGGTCTAAAATAGTGAGAACCAAAAGGATGATAAAAGGCAATAACGAGATGACCGCTAAGTATGTCATTTATGCTAACATGCCACACAAACCTTATTGAAAGAGGAATACGAAAGGAGCCTAAGCTACTAATAAGTACCGTTTGCATTGTTCGCATCGCAAACTGACTGGATGTATTGTCAAATAAAGGCCCGTGATCGAAGCTACCCAATAACAAATTAAAGTTAAGGTTAATGTCGACAGCAGTCAAAATACGATTATCATATGGTGTAACCAAAGGGGATGGGGCAATGAGTGAGATCACCGAAATTGCTGTCTAAGACAACAAATGCTAAAACCTGCCCTGTGAACCCGTCAAAAACGTCTTGTAGGAGGATTATCGGCCCGCCGCCCCGCTTACCGCTCACCTAACCTCATTCTGACTAGAAAGCAGCGGATTCTCGCAGGGCGATAGTATAGCATTTAAGAATCGATGGATCATAAAAATGGTACCGTGCAAGACGAGAACTTTGGATTTACAGACTACTGTAGTAAGCAGAAGTTCAGCGGTTCGCAGTAAACGTTACAAATAAAGGTATATTCATTACAGCAACAGCTTAATCCCGCCTTCTCGCAGAAGGCAGAATCATTAAACATTTGACGGCGATCGTCAAGTCCACAAGAGCTTGCTCCTATCATTTAACTTGCCATTTAAATTGCGAAAATAATGTTGAGAATGCGTTACACGCTCGCATGCACTCACTAACAAATTTAATTAGCCTTATAACATTTTCGCACGAATCGTCAGCCAAATTGGAAAGACAGTTACCTCAGCCGCGGGACCGTGTCAATGGGGTCAAGGACCTCAATTGTGCAACCAAATACGCACGCGCTGGTTGCGCACGCCTATACAGTGGACAGGCATTCACGGCTTACCGCTCAGGCCTCCAGGTTGTGCCCCTCTTGGCGTGGTGGCTCCTTCTAGGACACTCCCGTGTCAGTGCATTCTGTCCAATTTGGTCCCCCCTCACCCCAAGAAAAAAGTTGCACTTCTTCATTGCAGTAAGGGCTGGAGCCCTTACTGTGAGCTGATCAGCTTTGCGGCGAAACCTATAGGTACATGCCGATTACCCACGCCGTCACATGGCTGACGCCTGCGGCGCCGCAAAAGGCGATAAATGTATCGGCTTTTCGCGGTCAAAATGTCTCAGATGGTGCAAGGGTCATAGGGGCGGAATCAGGGACTCGCTGGGCCACGAACGCGAGCCAATGTTATTAATTTTACTTCATAGCGTCTCAGGAGAGTAAGGCAGCGCACTCTAAAAATGGACTTTTGAGACTCTGGAATGTATTTTACTAATTGAAAGGAAGTAAAAGTCAGAAGACGGTCTTCTGACTTGGGGCCTAGACCAATACCTACAGAAGGAAGCCTGGGAGACTTACTATTTTTGCCACATGGATTTCGCCTCAGTAAAAGCACAGAACAGATGTGATTTTGAAGAAATATCGCATTTACGATGCTCGTAGATACTTGCAGTATAAGGAGTCCGGATCAGTCCAATCCTTCATGTGGTCCTCAATCCGAATTGACCAAACAACTATAGTTTTTTTAGGTTAATGACATTACCCGTTAATCACATTACCACTTGAAGTTTTGACACCATGCTGGTGAGCAGTATCTAAGGTGAAGCCTAGTGTTACTCCTCTTGATCTTTCAACAGTTGTTAAAGGGATGTGATTATTCTCGCGCGTACCGATGATGACGATTGCAGATAGGCTAGGAGGCGAATGAAACCGTGACTACCACGGTCTTCGAGCACGGTCCCGAAAGGTAAGGCCGACGCAAGTGGGGAGGATAAATTATTGTGCGCATAATAAGTGGAGAAGTTGGAGAGGGTTGGCAGCCGGGCGGGTCATGCCCAGCGCCGGCTGAGCGACGTCCCAAGTGTATGAGGTAATTCGTCAAATCCTCTTAAATCTGGACACGTCTGATCGGTGTTTAATCTGATTGGCCGGTTGAAAAGCCGAGCGGACGGATGTCAAAGAGCCCTGGTGCGCACATGCAGACACTCGTGAGAGCCCAGCGTTGAGACAGGCACTCGGAGCAGGGCCACTGCGAGTGCTCCTTTTTAGACAGAATTTAGGGGGATAAAGTCGAGCAAAGGAAAAATAAGGAAGATGAACACGCGATCTCTGGGACGGCAGCTGTATTAATCTGAGCTTTCTGTCTCGTTCGGGGGGCCCTCGTTAGAGACTGTAAGAATTCGGTATTAAATGAGCAGTTTTTGTAGTCGAGCAATGAAGGAGGGATAGGAGTGCAGGGGGTGGTATTCGCGATAAGCTGAATCCCACGCCGTTTCACGTCGGCGTGCCTGCGTGTACCCTTGGCCACCAGTTGAGCCTCGCCTCCTGGCCGCGGGAAAGGAGCGCGGCCACACGGAGATTGTTTGTTCATCTTACAACAATAATAATTTTATTTAATGCCAATTTACAGGCATTGTCAGGGAAGCATTAAACATAAATAATAATAATAATAATAATAATAATAATAATAATAATTATTATTATTATTATTATTATTATTATTATTATTATTATTATTATGAAAGGCCGTCGGGGTCCCATCAAAGCAAGCAAAAATAAACTTACATGCGAATTTTGGACGAGGTAGGCAAAATCGTTACAAAGTGCAATACATAGTTTTTAAATTAGAAGTTCGTTCTGAAAAATGATAAGCGAGGGGTGAAAAAAAACTCCGAATGAAAATTTAAAAATGATTGGATTAATTTTACAGGCGAAAAAAAACCCATCGAAAAAAATAGAAACAGAAAAATGCGGCAGGACTGGCCTGCATGTGGTGGTATAGAATGGATTACAGTCGGACATCAACAGGGCCGAAATAAATGTCAGCTGTATATGGCATTGCAAAACGGATTTCATGAAGGGGTTAGTAGACGGGTCGGTCAGGAATGGCCTGATTGTGGCCTTCAATAAGGCATATAAGTGGCGAAATTGAAAACCAGTCTCGAGGCGATAGGAACCCAGATGCGGTCGGTTACATTCATCCAAATCCATCCGAGGATGGGGCAAGGGAGATACGACCAGACTACTAGTATATGGCGAATACAGAAGGTTTCGCCAAGAGCGTCGATGGAGCGCATTCTGTGAGGGCACGATGCATGCACTGAAAAATTGGAAAAATTAACATTTCTGGTGAGGGATCTTACGAAAAGAGGCTACTCACAAAGGAAGGAAATGTGAACAAATACGGAAAATTAATGGCGGCATACTAAATTCCCAGTGGCCCTTTCTCAGTTGTCTGGGAAGGATGAGGAAAATAAAAGTTTAATCGAGTCAGTATTCAGATAAAGGCGTAGCCTTCTCTTAAAGGTGTATAGATTTTCTAAAGATCCTACATTTATTGGAAGGTTATTCCAGAGGAAAGTATACCTGGAAGCGAAAAAAGGGAGCGCTTAGAGGTGGGGGACGCTGGAAGAGGTATAATTTGAGACGAATTGCGAAGATTGTATGGGCGACTACTAGGGGTGAGTGCTGAAATCCGAGGAAAATTTAAACTATTATTAATGTGAAAGAGGAGATGGAAGCCCGCTTCTACTCTTCGAACTCACAAAAAGTTTAGGTTAATTAGCTGGCATCCATCTGAGTAGGAGATATTGGGATATTCCCTATCTAAAAGTTTTTTTAGAAAAACGTCTTTGGACATTTTCAATTTTTAAACGACTGGCTTCATTCATAAAACCAAAGAATGGGCAACAATACTCGAGAATGGGAAGTACAAACATACGATAGAGCCTTAATTTGATTTCAGGAAGATAGAAATTGTAAGAAATAAAGCCACAAATCTGGGCAGCTTTGGCTGTAATTCTGTCAGCGTGTGGCGAGAGATCAAGATTACTAGTGTAGCTTAAACCTAAATCCTTGATGGTGGTACATTCAGTCATGGGTGTGCCTTGAATGACCACTGGTTGGGGTAGCCTATCAGGTCCGAAACACATATAGCGACATTTAGACGGAGAGAATTCCATTAGCCATTTTGAGCTCCATGCTGAGAGAGCAAGCAAGTCAGCATGGGTTTGCTCCAGGCAATGAAGGCTCGTAGATTTTTTTGAATGAATATACACATTTGAGATCATCGGCATGAGTGGTTAAGAATGTTTAACTGCTTCCGAGATATAATTAATGTAAAGCAAGAACAAAAGAGGACCTAAAACGGTACCTTGTAGGACACCACTTTCAATAGGGCCTTCACTGGAAAGTAAAGGTCCCACCAAAACCTTTTGTTTACGATTAGACAGGTATGACCTGAGAAAGTCTATTAATGGCCAGCAGTGAAAAAACTCCTGTCGGAAAAGAAGAAAAATAAAGTTGATGGTGATTTTTATGGTTTGAAAAGTTCAGGAGAAAAAACTGCTCACCGCAAACCGTCGACCGTCAAGGAGAGAGGGGTTGCACTGTATCGGATACTATCAGTCGCCATTTTTTTTCATGAAGTTGAGGCTGGTCCAAACAGAAGAGCCGAAAAACAGCTGTCGCTGTTGGCCAGAGAAATTATCCCCGGTGAGACCGGGCATAGTGATCAGAGACCAAAAACGCTATCGCTACGGTAGAGTCGATTAGTGGCTTCAGCACCCAGAATTTGTGGGAGTTTTTCTGAATTCGAAAAGCGAATAATAGTTCTTTTAAATAAAGGATGATTTTGCAGAGTTTACACACTTCTGGGTATTTTATTCCAAATACCTATTGCATTAACAGAAAAGGACCGAGAACATTTGACAGTACGTGCCAGAGGAAGAAATAAAAAGACCTCACGGTGACTGTTACGTCGGAGTCGACATGATGTCTTAAAGAAGTGAGTGGGTTAGAGGTGCGAGTAAATAAAAGCTTAAATAGCAAAATAGTCCCTTTTGTAACCTACGAAGCCATAAAGTATCAAGGCCTGTAAGCCGGCAACGTTCTTGGTACGACAAATGTCAGTGTTCCGGGGTTAGGACTTTCTTGGTAAAATAGTGTTGAACGGATTCTATTTTCTTCCGCTCAGCAGCACTCATGGGGCTAAATAAATAAGAAACAGTAGTCCAGGCCATGTCTAACGTACATGTTATAAAGGCGCATTCTAATGTCACTAGTTTAATGCTTATTTGAGGTCGGCGGTCGTCGTCAACTACCATGACTGAGTATTTATGCCAAGAAAGAGAAAGGCACCATGTTGGGCACCACTGGGCAAAGGCCTGTAGGTCGCTCTTTAGGAGCTCTAACACGATGTCACGATCTGCCGGCTTATATCAATAGGAAATTTTCAGATCATCGGCATACATGAAGGACTTACCATTCTGAAATAAATCTGCCGCGTCGTTCACAAAAAGGCAAAATAATAGCAGGCCGAATACACTATCTGAATGACTCCATCCCTCACACATGTGGGTTTGGAGATGGCATTGGAAATCTTAACTCGTTGTGTGCCAGCGCCCAGGTAAGACGATGTAAATTTCGGAAGCTTGGCACATATTTCGAAAGGGGAAAGTTTCAAGAGGAGAAGAGCACGGTCATCACGATCAAAAGCCTTAGTGAAATCGAAACAGACTGTGTAGAGTACAAACCCGTTGTCCCTAGATTGGAGAACATGTTCAAAGAAAGACAGCTGACAGGTGTCACAATACCGAGCTTTGAGAAATCCCCGCTGAGCGACACTCAGAAGGTTATTATCTGTTAAATGACACATCATTTTATCTTTGATCAATGTCTCTAAGATCTTCGAAATTGCAGAAAGGCTGTTTATTGGCCGAAAGTCATCAAGTGACGTAGACTGGCCATGCTTGGGAACGGGCAAAATATGTGATTCCTTACAGAAAGTAGAATAGTACTCAATTTCAAAGACGAGATTAAATATTTTGCATAAGAGGGATGGGAAAATTACATTTTCTTCCGCTCCTAGAATGCAACCTGAGACACCATTGTGTCGTGGACAGGGTAAACATTAATATCCGAACTTAGGAAGAAAGCCCTGCGGTGGTAGGAATTAAGGTGTGTTAATAATTCGACGGAGCGATCTGATCAGAGATCGAAAAAGAAGCTATACTTTGAGTACATACTTTTGTCAGACTTGAGTTCTATCGCTGGGACAACTATGCCGGCATGTGAGCCCCTTATCGGTATGAAACCTCTACACAAGATTAGGTCAATTATGTTTTATCCTGGAGTGGGAAAATCAACAACCGGACATCACTTGCCAACATCGACAGTCTCAGGTAAGTCTTCGAATAATTTGGGGCCGGACGGCAGAGAGCAACGGTCTTCATGAAGATTTTCAGCGGGCATGCCAATCGATAACCCGGTTGCACGCTAAGACTTAGTCGAGAAAAGCCAACCAATAGGGCCGCGCCAGAATGGGCTTAACTGTCAACGCCGCCGAGAGGTAAGGAGTGCAATCTGGAGTTTTAGGACCGTCATGCATTCTGCCATGGCCGCCGGCTGCGTCCTGATCTGCTCAGTTGGCGTTGGTAACGGAGAAACGGAGAGCTGGGCGTTAGAAGACGTTTGGAACCACTGCACCTCTAAAATCCTGTCCGTTATCTTGGCTAGCCGTGAGACCGTGAGATCTTTTGAGGTAGATGCCAAAATTGTTTGCACATCGGCTGCCGGACGCTCCAGGAACATTTCCTTGAAAGGTTTATCATCGATTTTTAGCTCACCACGAAGGCCTTGCATATTTCTAAGAAGTTCGGTGGGTTTTCGGTCACCCAAGCACTCCTCGCGAATAAGCTGTTGATACCGCTGGCGATCAGACACATTATGAAATCGAAGGAGTGCTGCCTTAAGCTGCGTATATGGCTGGTCGACCGGGGGACTCTGAATCTATGATTGTAACTGAGAAAGAACCTGTAACGACAAAGTCTGAATCAATTTGTGGAATTTGGTCACTTCTTTGGCCATGTTTGCAGAGCAAAAACTTGACTCAATGCGAAGGAATTAGACCTCAGGTGCATTCTTTAAGATTTCTGGTAAAGACAGTGCTACTGCGCTAATAGAATCGCCTCCAATAGCAGAGGCGTCCGTCATAACTGTGGCTGCAGTAAGATTTGAGTAAAAGTGCACGCGAGGAAAGGAACAATACGGCACTGCACAATGGTTGGCTGGTTATAGTCGGCGAGTAAAAACGCATGAGAGGGCGACGCACGTTCTCGTTCAGTGGTCACCACTTTAGCAGGCAAACCAATCGATAACTCGATCCCACGCTAGGACTAGGTTGAGAAAAACCAATCAAAACGACCGCGGCAGGCCGGACTTAGCTATCAACGCCGCCCAGAGAAGAACAAAGCCAATGGGTAAAAAGTCAGTTAGTCAAACCGAAACTAACACCAGTTGGAGTGTGTGCATAACTGTTACAAAAACACCAACTTAAATAAAAGTATATATGCGAGTCTGGGAAATGATTAGCAAGCAGAATAACGGGAAATGGCAGTGTATAAACAGAAATATGACAAAGGGTCTACCAAAGATTAAAGTTGCTCGCAACCAATTGATTCTTGAAGCTTAGTTCGGCCGCAGCATGAAATGCCAGTGAGAGATAACGATCGAAATCCTCACTGGCATCGGTTGGGCGATAGATACAGGCAGCGAGTCAAGATAACTTATATTTGAAGCATCTTGGAGCCATCAGCTGCCTTCTACCGCGGAAAAATGCGGGAGGTCCGACGGCAAAAATGCGAGTGGTTGCTTAACGCAGATGCTACTTCCGCCACCAGTAGTTTCTTGACGGTCATTGCGAATGCAGGTGTAGCTTGGAAAGAAGAGAGTCTGGAGTCAGCTTCGAAAGCTGTCGCCCATGCCTCAGTTAATAAATTAATGCCTGGGCAATGGACGAACACCAGAGTCTGTGGAAGGGACATCTTATTTGGCAAGCATCTGGCATTTAGAATAAAAAATTTAAGGTGATGGACCGGTTTTTTCTGCGGCGGGTGAGCTAAATAGTTCAGTGATTGGTTGCCCACGGAATATATGGTCCGGATGGACCTATCCGGTTCTATAAAAAAATTTGTGGCATTAAAATAGCCTGATGTGGATTAAAAGGAGTAGGATTTGGGGCACGAAATGATGGGCAGGGAAACGAATGACTATTGTTAGCCGGTTAATTTTCTGCTGGAAATCAACGGGCCGGATGCCGTGACGTATTCCCGCCGGAGCAGAACTGAAAACCGGGTGAGTTAATTAACCCAGTATGAACATTAGCATAAGGACTGCATTGGTAAAACGGCCGTGGAGAGAAAATGATGGGGCGTAGTTTTGAACGATTAAAGTGTCAAGAGTTCTATCTTGACCAACGGGATTTTCGAGTTAACCATACACAGTGACGGCAGCGAACACATGCTAGCACCCGCTGTGTCTCCGACCACGATTCTAGCACTGAGAGATGGCGTGAAGACCGCAAGCTTTCGTCTTTTAGCGTGTTCTTCGGAAAATTACAGGGTAATAGATGGGTTTTCGTTGCAGTACAAGGGTCGGAACGTTGCTAACATAGAACAAAACGCACTGTTGGTTTACTACAAAAAACCAGAAGGAGACAGTCTGACACGAAGTCACTAAAAAGGCGCGTCGCAATATACGGCAACTTTACCAGGCTGTCTAACAAGACTGGGAGAAATTGAACCCGGCACCGAGAAGCGACATTTAAAAGGACTCAAATAAAATAGGCATTAATTGCCTAGGAATATCAAAGTATAGTCAGTGCTTCACTTATCTTCGAGATTGAGCTGCGCGCCTTGACCTTGACCTTATAGTGAGCAAAATTGCCTCCGTGTCGTCGGTAATCTTTTTAATGATTTGCAAATACGACCACTCCTCTACCCTGGCGCTTTCCCTGCCTCTCCCATAAAATTAGTATCCTGACAGTGCTAATTCGCTATCATCGACGTTCTATGACAGCCACGTTTCCGTTATTGCTATAACATCTGGAGACGTATCGGCAGTCTGAGTTCATCGGACTTAAAAATGTATTATCGATCGCTTACTCGATTGAGTATGAGGAACGAGGAAATCCACCTAACATATACATTTTGCAGAATATTTCTTTGGAGTGCGAGAATGAAATCTCAGGACCGTCTGCTGCTGCTGTTGTTGATGTTGTTCCTATTGACCTAACTGTGAAAAGCTCGGCGCCTCGGTGGGATTCGAAACCAAACAGAAAGGGGAAGGCCTCAATACAGCCAACGCTCTATCCACTTAAGCTACGAGGCCCCGCCGGACGACTCGAGTTTAATCACATCGATGAGTTGTTGTTGTTGCTGTTGTTGTTGTTGTTGTTGTTGTTGTTGTTGTTGTTGATGATGATGATGATGATGAGGAGGAGGAGGAGGAGGAGGAGGAGGACGACGACGATGATGATGATGATGATGATGATGATGATGATGATGATGATGATGAGGAGGAGGAGGAGGAGGAGGAGGAGGAGGAGGAGGAGGATGAGGATGATTAAAATACTAATAATACTTAAGGGAGGAAACAATCATCTGCACCGGCAGCAGGTGTATGCAAGGCGTTGGCTTTAAATAACGTCACAGTCATGTCCAGTTTATCGGTATTTTTCAAACACATATACATTCAATCTCTGCTTAAGTGTCTTTATGGAATCCGCCATTATCACGTCCTCAAGAAACCCCTTTCAGGTACCGAAGACTCGCTATGAAAAAGAGTGCCTGCGAGCGTCCAGGTGACATCAGCGTCCTCGCAATCTAAGAGAGTTTTTACGCAGGCCTGTTTTTATGGCCAAGGCGAAGAAACTTTCGAGGTGCAGGACACAGTCCCGGCTCCTCACAATCCCGTATGTCTGTATGAGACCTCCTCGAATCTGTCTGTGCTGAAGAGTAAATAGGTTAAGCTCATTAAGTCTGCAGTTTTAAGATAAAGTCTTGAGGTCTTTCACAATTTTGGTCGCCCTCCTCTGAACTCATTCCTGAAACATTTATTCATTCTCCAGCCAGGGGCGACACGCTGAGATCTCATATTCCAGTTGCAAACGAATAAACTCTGCATCTACTTTTCTAAAATATCTCTTCGTCTATATCTGTGAAAACTTGTTTAATGGCGAATAGAACAATGGTTGTCCTTTTGACCGCCTTATACATTGAGAGGAGGGCTCAAGAGACAACAAAATCTTGATTTTAAGGTCCTTTTGCTCGGCCATATTTGAAAGGCAACTTCCGCCAAGGAGGTATAGGCGATCCTCTCTGCCTCAGAAAATGAGCGTCTAGTCTGCACCTAAAGGAATCAACGGTTTCGAAAAAAGCACCGCATCGGGCACTCCGTTCTATGAGTCAACAATCATCTTCGGGAGGGTGTTCCGTCGGATGTCCTCGTGGAGGTATTCGTGTTCCCCTCCATTTGTTCGCTCCTGCTTCGCTTCCACTGCAATATACTGCACAAGGTTAAACATTAGCGGCCATCTCTCTGACCATTCACATAGACGGTTCAGTCATTCTTGCGGGGTCCGTTCGTCATTCTCGCAGCGATGTCACAAAAAAATTACCTAGCACGGAAGCCATCTCGCCTAAGCCTCTTGCTGTAAGTGAAGAGATTTCTCTTTTGTCGGGGGACGATATACCTGGGTCATCCAGTCTACTGCTGCCCTCTTCAGATTGGCAAAATTGAGAGATCCGGGAAGATTATTTGAGGGAGAAAATAGGCTCTCCGGAACAGGTTTATTTAACTGCTGGCGTTTCAAACATCTGGGTCGGCTCTTCATTGTCAAAGCGTAAACTGCCCTTAATACAATTCAATTCAATTCAATTATTTTATTAAAGACCCGTCGGGGTCCCATCAAAGCAAGTAAAAGTAAATTTACATGCAAATTTTAGACGATGTAGGCAAAATCTGCACAAAGTGCAATGCGTAGTATTTGAGATTAGAAATCCGTTAAGCAAAATGAAAATGAAAAAAAAAACGAGGGGTGAAAAAAAAAACTCCAAAGCAAGATTTAAAAATGATTGTAGTAATTTAACAGGAGAAAAAAAACCCTCAGAAAAATAGCATCAGAAAAAAAGGGAGGACTGGCCTGCATGTGGCGGTACAAAATGGAATAAAGCCCGACATCAACATGGCCGAAATAGATGTCAGCTGTATATGGCATTGTGTAACGGATTTCATAAAATGGTACGTAGGCGGGTCGGTCAGGACTGGCCTGTATCGCCTTGAATAAGAAAAATAGTGCCGAAATTGAAAACCAGTCTCAAGCCGATAGGAACCCAGATGCGGTCAGTTTCATTCAACCGAGTCCATCCGAACATGGGGGGAGATGCGACCAGACTACTAGTATATGGCGAATATAGAAGGCTTTGACAAGACCGCCGATGGAGCGCATTCTGTAAGGGCATGATGACAACCAGTCTCGAGGCGACAAGAACCCAGATGCGGTCGGTTTCATTCAACCGAGTCCATCCGAACATGGGGGGAAGGGAGATGCGACCAAACTACTAGCATATGGCGAATACAGAAGGCTTAGTCAAGATCGCCGATGGAGCGCATTCTGTAAGGGCACGATGACAACCAGTCTCGAGGCGAAAAGGCCCCAGATGCGGTCTGTTACATTCATCAGAGTCCATCCGAGGATAGGGCAAAGGAGATGCGACCAGATTACTAGTATATGGCTAATATAGAAGGCTTCGCCAAGAGCATCGATGAGGCGCATTCAGTGAGGGCATCATGAAGATCAGTCTCGAGGCGATAGGAACCCAGATGCGGTCGGTTTAATTCAACCGAGTCCATCCGAACATGGGGGAAGGGAGATGCGAACAAACTACTAGTATATGGCGAATACAGAAGGTTTCGACAAGAGCGTCGATGGCGCGCATTCTGTGAGGGCACGATGCATGAACTAAAAAACTAGAATAATTAACATTTCTGGTGAGGGATCTTAGGTAGCGAGACTACTCATAAAGAAACGTGAACAGATACGGAAATTTAATAGCGGCATGCTAAATTCCCGGTGGCCCTTTCTCAGTGTCATAGGAAAAGTTGTCTGGGAAGGATGAGGAAAATAAAAGTTTAATCGAGTCAGTATTCAGATAAAGGCGTAGCCTTCTCTTAAAGTTGTGTAGATTTTCTGAAGATCTTATATTTATTGGAAGGTTATTCCAGAGGAAAGTATACCTGGAAGCGAAAAAAGGGAGCGCTTAGAGGTGGAGGACGCTGGAAGAGGTATAATTTGAGACGAATTGCGAAGATTGTATGGGCGACTACTAGGCGTAAGTGCTGAAATCCGAGGAAAATTTGAACTATGATTAATGCGAAAGAGGAGACAGAAGCCCGCTTCTAGTCTTCGAACCCATAAAAATTTTAGGTTAGTTAGTTGGCATCTATCTGAGTAGGAGATATTGGGATGTTCCCTATCTAAAAGTTTTTTTGAAAAACGTCTTTGGACATTTTCAATTTTTAAACGACTGGCTTCATTCATCAAACCAAAGAATGGGCAACAATACTCGAGAATGGGAAGTACAAACATACGATAGAGCCTTAATTTGATTTCAGGAAGATAGAAATTGTAAGAAATAAAGCCACAAATCTGGGCAGCTTTGGCTGTAATTCTGTCAGCGTGCGGCGAGAGATCAAAATTACTAGTGTAGCTTAAACCTAAATCCTTGATGGTGGTACATTCAGTCATAGGTGTTCCTTGAAAGACCACAGGATGGGGTAGCCTATCAGGTCCGAAACACATATAGCGACATTTAGACGGAGAGAATTCCATTAGCCATTTTGAGCTCCATGCTGAGAGAGCAAGCAAGTCAGCATGGGTTTGCTCCAGGCAATGAAGGCTCGTAGATTTTTTTGAATGAATATACACATTTGAGATCATCGGCATAAATAAATGATTGAGAATGTTTAACTGCGGCTGAAATATCATTTATGTAAAGTAAGAACAAAAGAGGACCTAAAACGGTACCTTGTAGGACACCGCTCACAATAGGACTTTCACTGGAAAGTGAAGATCCCACCAAAACCTTTTGTTTACGATTAGACAGGTGTGACCTGAGAAAGTCTATTAGTGGTCTGCGAATTCCCATAGCTTCCAATTTAATCAAGAGTCTTTTATGTGGCACTTTATCAAAGGCTTTACTAAGATCAAAATAAATTACGACAACAGATAGGTGATCATTACGAAGAGAGGTAAGTAGATCGAGATACGACAGATGACATGTTTCAAAAGAGCGATCTGGTAAAAAACCATGCTGGGAAGGGCTAATAACTTGATTGGCTATGCAAAATTCGGTAATTTTTATGGCGATAATTTTTTCAAAGATTTTGGCGAGAGAGGGTGTTTTATGGACACCTCGATAGTTCTGTACGTCAGAACGACAGCCAGACTTAAATACTGGAATAATAATAGAAGTTTTTCAATAGTCCGGGAAGAAGCCATTTACGAGAAAAACTGAAAAGATTTTGCTAAGCAGGGGAGGAAAATCTCTTAGTTGTTTTATCAAAGAGTTTGGTATATTGTCCGTACCTACTGAGTGAGAGTTAGGAAGATGACTTATCAGTTTTTGAATACATTCAGGAGAAAAATTAATGAAGCTAAGAGAAGCATCAGACAACGAAGGAATTAAAGGGATCGGATCAGTTTCAATGGTGAAATGCTTGGCAAAGAACGAATTTAAAAGTTCTGCTTTGCCTGACTCTTCTGTAATGAAGGCATGACTTGCACTAAGCAAGGGCGGAATGACTTGGTGGGACTTAGCAGATGATCTCTGACGGAAGATCTGAGCAACTGATTTAGAAGAATTCACGTCATTAATAGCTAAAGACTCTCTACGCCTATCTCGCTCGAGCCTCATTTTCGAAGCTAGTTCAAATATTTCAACGATTCTTAGATGAGCTGATAATGAACTCACAGAAGGATCTTTAAACTGCTTCCGTAACTTTTTAAGTCTGTTTTTAAGAAAGTGTGGGATAGCGGTGGAATTAGCACTCGGTTTGAACATCAGAAGTTTGATTTCAAGTGGCATCTTGTGTTGGTCGGCCTTATGCTGATCGATTTTTCTCACTTCTCGCTGCCTCAGCCTCTCTGGAGATGATGGAGGGGCGTTTTGCCTGTGTGCTTTGTGAGTCACCACTCCGTCGAGGGGAGCTGAGTGAATCTCTGTCGGGCGGTCGGTCTGGCGGTTCTTGTTCTTCCTCTTGCCCTCTTGTTCTCGCAACAACCCTGAGCGCACTACAAAGCACGTATCTGAATGCAAAGACATGAACCCGTGGGTAGAGGGGAGAGGGAAACGCCATGACAGGAGTCTGAAGTCACAACCAACCCTTGATGGGTTGCTCGGGACAGTCGGTAGACAGCAAAAGTTTGTGTCCAAGCGGCGATTCCGCAAATCCTCCTCGCCCACATGCAGCGAATTCACCGGAAAGACAGAGTTAGGAGGACCATTCTCGCCAGCAATGTCTGGTTATTCAGGGTTTGTCGGCATCGAATGCAGTCGCATCTGAAGA